AATTCACTGGAAAACGAACTCTCTTTTTCCTGAGTCACCGCTGCTCCATTTCTCTCTTATTAAGTGTTTTTAAAATCAAGTTTTTTTATTGTTAAATACATTTTCGTTACTTCTTTTGTCTATGAAGTTGAGGTTCCGTCGAAAGACGGTTCATCCTATAGGATTCCATTGCCGAAAAAAATTGGGAACCACTGATCTAGACTATTGGGATCATATTTCCAGGATTGATTCCTTTCTCTCCTGGTGGTCAAAAAACTAAATCCGACGAATAAAAGGGTATGTTTATTAAAAAAAAAACATGTTTTTTTTCCAGTTTTGCAACTTAATTCTTAATTACCGATTTAGATAGCGTATTTTAATTTAAAACCCTTTGAATTAAGACAGGTTTTTAGTACGTAATTATCCAAACATTTTATTTCAAATTTCTTTATTTTTTATTTCTTAATGTAAGTTTAACGTAACGTTTTTTCTTTTGTTTAATTCAATGTGTATCTAACTTGCATACCACTAAATATTTTAATGTCGAAAATTATTTTATGATCCTTTTTTTTAATGACGCAATTTTCTCCTCCTCATTTTGGAAATAAATTAAAAACATAATAATTTGGAGTATTGTTGAAATTCCCACTTCTGCATTCAATCGAATTATAAGATTTGATTTGTTGATAGTTTGAATTATTCAAAGTTTGGATAAATTAAATTCTGTCTACACAACAATTAAATAAGCATAGAATAGCGTTTTTTACACTTTTTCTAAATTGCGACTGCATTTCTTTCGAATTTTTTTTAAAATTTTAAATATCATAAGATAATGTTTTTTCTGTAAAAGCACGCAGAAATAATTCAAAAACAGCTTTTATTTATTATAGTATGCAAACAATTTAGCAAGGAAAAGTAAAAATTATTGCAAAATAATTTTAAAAAAATTGTAGCAGATTGCAGAAAAAAAAAATTTCTTGTTACTCAACGATTCCTTTCAAAAGTTAACGATAGCTCAACATCGAAAGAGTAATACCCACGATTTTCAAGGCTCGTAAGAAAAATATGCATGTGGATCACAATAAACTGGTTGATATACATTTTCTTTTGATAGTTAAAACGAACAACTTATAGCCTATATGCATCATTACATAGATTCATTGGATCATTAAGTCCATTTAATAGGTATTTATACATTTTATACCCTTAAATTGCACGAATACCCTTATTGCTTCTTTTAAAATCTAGTTTCTTGAAATAAAATGTGTTAAAATAATAGTAATAATCTTAAAAACTTCGAAGCAATAATGACACACATCTAGTTTTATATTTCCGCAAAAAGTATGAGCTAATAAAATAAAGATTGGCAATAGAACATATCAAAATGGAAAAGCATTTAAATCCATTGCAAAATGTTTTTTCTTCTTCTACGGATATAGTTGTGTTTTTCTTGATATGTTTTCTCCATGTAATCAAGCTTAGCGTAACTACTTACTATTGTTGTAACTATTTTAATTAAATTACTCATTGTTATTATTACAAACAAATTACTATTACTTTTTAAGATTAGCTGCGACCCAGAAATCGGTTAGCTCTTATATTTTTTTCAATCACAATGGACTACAATAATTTTCCACTTTTTGAACAGTTTATAAATCAAATAGTATCGATTTAAAGTTGAGTTGTCTCCGTGAATGGCCGAAATCAAGAGAATGTCGACTTTCACACCGGTGAATGTCAACATTCACACAGTCGCTTTGGTGAATGTCCGAAATATTTATTAGATCCGATATGATATTAATTTATTAGTTAATATTATTATATTGATTCGATATTTTAAAATCTGCTGAGGATAGATTAGCAGAAACATCAGTGTTCGGAATACCGTTTAAATGCATAATGAGCAGTGGCACTTGACTTTAAGAAAACATAAATGTAGGACATACCGGGCAAATATATACCAGGCAGTATCACTTAACTAGTCCTAGTATATATTTCGGTCATTTACCAAAGCGACAACCACAGTAGCAGAGTATTTATTAAATAATTATAAGTTAATTAAATATAAGTTATAATTATAAGTTATTTATAAGTTAATTAAAGTATTTATTAATTAAGTCAATTAGAGTATTTTGTTGATTTTAATTGGTAGGTTGTAGAACATTCAATTATCGGTGGCTTACCGATTCTTTCAAACACTGAGGACTTATTTTCCCTTTTTTTTTTATCAATTTTCTCGGGCCTATTTAACTTAAAATAAATAAATAAAAATAATAATGTAGAAAGTAAACACAAAATTTTTAACTTAAATCTCCTATAAATGCTTAATTTTTGACTAGCATCTAATTTTAATTTTTTTCGCTATAAAAAAAACTTGAATACAAACGAAAAAGTAATGCCTTACAATAAAAAGCACGATAATATGGTACAACTCAGATCCTGAGTTGAGCTGAGGATTTCAAATTATTAGCCAGTAAATTAACTAAATATCAAAAGTATTCGCCAATTTTCGAGTCTTCGTCGAATGCTTACGGTAGTTTGTTTCAGACTTATAATATTATTTGGACCCACTTCTAATGGGTTATCTACCGAAAATTACTTTTAATTTAATCGAATAAACAATACTGATTTGTTTAAAAAAATTCATTTTGACGTAATTTTAATTTCTTTCCAGTGGAAAAAAAATCATTCACCAAAACACAATTTTATTCGCCAGATTTACGATTTTATCGCATGGGTCGAGGTGGCGAATGTGTTTAGGGCAGGCCCTGCAACTTAGAAGTATCATATTGCCTAGAATTTGAACGATATAGTTCAGCACGTTCTTCAGGATCGTGGCTATGGTTGAACTCACAATAACGTGTTTTAAACACGTGAATGACGAAAAGGGATTACATTTTACATGATGCAATGATTAAATAAAATTCACCTTTGTTATATGTAATTTATAAGCACCCTTTTCTCTCCTGGTCATCAAAACTTAAACTCTAATTTTTATTTCCCATGGTCCATATAACGTATGTTTCAAGTTTCACTGATACACGAAAACTGGAACAGATTTTATGCTGATTTGCACAGAGCAATTACACACTGATAATCACGTAAATGAAATGGTCTGAAATCGAAATAATTTTATCAAGGTTTTCGCGAGAAAATTTCTAACATAATTAGCTATATGTATGCAAGGTGCCAAAAATATATGAAAACCGTGAAATATGTAACGCAAAAAGTACACATTGTATCTAATATATTTTAAAATAAAGCAAATAAACAAAAAAACCACTTAAGAAATACTTTCAATAGTTGCATTGAATGATACAAACTCAATCCAACTATTCTCATTTTCTGCGAATGGAACTGGGGGGGGGGACTTAAAAATCCTGTTAAATGTGGAACACCTGTTTTTTTTCATTATTTTTAGATTTGGATTTTCCAGTGAAAAAAGAGCTCCAATTCGGCAAATAAGTTGTTCCATCTTGGTTAACAGATAAAACTGTAATTGCAAATTGAAGATGGGATAAAAATAGCTTAAAATGCTGCTATTTCAAAACACACACGTCAGACAAAATAAATAAACAATAATAAAAATAGCCTCCTTTGATATTTTTAAATATGAACCTAATGACATCAAATCTTGTTTAGACACTGTGGCTAAGGCTGCTCTATGGGGGAGTGGTACCTAGTTTCAGGAATTGGTATCATTGAGTATATCGTTTGAAATTATTTTCAACCGAATATTTTCAGATTTTTGATCCACTGCGTATTCCATCAGCTATTTGACTGTTTCCATACATTTTGGACATCCTGTCTACACGCATACATAACTTGGTATTTCTACTTGTAAATTTACAGCCTCTTAAAAAAATGTTTTCAGTTTCTTCGCTTTAATTCACAGGAATAATTTTATTTTATAACCATCGCAGAACAGTCGACTCAATTTTGGATTTAAGATTACTAATATTCAACTCCGTAGCCTCGTCATTTTGAACCCATCCAGAAGACAAGGGAATTCCTGGATTAAGCATTAGGAGAAATTTGATATCGTGGAAGACTCTNGTATTGATTTGTTGTGGGAACATGGAGGACTTTGAGACTCGACAGATTTAACGTGCATCAGTCACCATTTACTACACGGGGAGTCTTCGGCCGGCGAGGATCGAACCCACGACCTCTTGGATATGGGCCCAGCGCCCTACCGACCGACAAAATAAATAAACAATAAAAATAGCCTCATTTAATATTTTGAAATATCAACCTAATGACATCAAATCTTGTTTAGACACTGTGGCTAGGGCTGCTCCATGGGGGGGGGGGTACCTAGTTTCAGGATTTGGTATCATTGAGTATATCGTTTGAAATTATTTCCGACCGAATATTTTCAGATTTTTGATCCACTGAGTATTCCATCAGCTATTTGACTGTTTCTATACATTTTGGACATCCTGTCTATACGCATACATAACTTGGTATTTCTACTTATAAATTCACAGCCTCTTAAAAAAATGTTTTCAGTTTCTTCGCTTTAGTTCACAGGAATAATTTTATTTTATAACCATCGCAGAACAGTCGACCCAATTTTGGATTTAAGATTACTAATATTCAACTCCGTAGCCTCGTAATTTTGAACCCATCCAGAAGACAAGGGAATTCCTGGATTAAGTATTGGGAGAAATTTGATATCGTGGAAGACTCTTAGATGGAACTAACCCGCATGAGCGTTACATGGGGAAGAAAACCACAAAAACGTCCCACATTTAGCCTAATGGAAAGGGGACTCTAGCCCATGAACCGTCTACCACTGAGGATATTTTACATCAGGACTGTGGTCGGTGTGAGCCGGGTGCGGAATTTGTATCCATCAGCCACGACTGGGATTCAAACAAGGTTCACCTCATTGGAAGGCAAATGCTCTTGCGGTTTTGTTATCGAAAGACAGACAGACATATAAAGCACAAATTTTTAATAAAAATTCCTGGAAAATAAAAAAAAACAAGAGTTTGATTCAGAAAAAAAAAACAATATTTATTAAATATACAATTTAATATTTCTTTTAAAACAAAGCACAACCAACTTACACAGACATATTTGCAATTTTTATAAAGGAACTTCAAGTAACATTTCTATTATACATGTTTTTTTTAAATATAAAATAAAATCAAAATGAAGTAATCTCAACAAAAGCAATATTTCAACAAGGAGTACAATCAGAAGAGAAAAAGAAAGCGTCCATGGTATAATAATGGATAATAAATAAATCGAATCCATAAATGAAGAAATACAAATATATTTTGACCGTACTCCTAATAAACAAAATAAAATGCACAATATCTACAAAATCACTGGGCACAGATATTATATTTTTTTACAGGAAGTTTAATCACTATAAAATATTATTTTAAATAATTATTTGAAGTATTAAATACTTTGATGATGGTAGTTCTAACCACAACAAAATAATGAGATTCTATGATTAATGATATGTAAAATACTTGGTAGATAAAACATAGCACCGCAGATTAATATTTTGAAAAATTAAGGAAACATATAAATGACATTAAATAAAATGGAAAATAATTTTAATCATATGCATTACTAAAATAGCTATTACCTTACATCCTGGTGTATAAGTCGAATTTTCAGAACTCCAAAATTTAAAAAAAAATATATAAGGGGATCAACTTAAACGCTAGTAATTATGTCTGACTTTCCTCAATCTTGATATCGGGGCATATAAAAGTTTACATATTATTGTTTTTTCTATAAACGATACTTTAAATTACGTTCAGAAAAAAAAATGAAGAATCATTTTTAGATCGGTCAACTTATACGCCCGACATAAGAGAAACCTCGTAATCAAAAATAAGGGGCAGACTTATACAACAGGATAGATGGTAATTTTTATAATTGGGAGTTGAATAAAAAATAAGTACAAAAATAACAAATCAGATCATTAAGTAAATAAACTAGACTTTTCCTAAAAACTTTTTTAGTTTATGCATTTTTTATAAGTCAAACTTGCATAATTTATGATTCTTAAGTTTTGATTTAATATACTATACAAATATTGTGTAAATCAGATTTATTTTAATTTATAGGAAACAAAAACAGGTTATGTTAAATAAAAACTTTTATTCATAATTAAACTTTTGCTCCCTTTAACAAGTTGCAGTCTATTTTAAAACAGAACTCCTCTGAAGAATTTAATATATTTGAGTAACGCCTATTTAGAGGCGCAATAAAAAAATTCAACGTAAGCAGCTTAATTCAAAAGTGAAATTTTTATATAGATGGCATTTTTGTATGATAAACTACGCATTACAAAAGTTTTTGTATCAAAATCAACTTTTTTTTAAAATCAGTTTTCTGAAATTATATTTTAACATTGTTAGCATTAGCAAGGGAAGTCGTCAAGTCGCATTTCTTAAAATCTATCGTGAAGCATTTAGGTTGTTTTTCGATTGGCAGTACTATTTTCCCTATATTATGACCAGGTTCGTTTGCAACACTTTTGGTCTGGTTTACGGTCCTGGTCTCGACAACTATAGTACTTTGATTCTTATTATTGATTTAAAAAATTAACGATTTTCCATTTTGATTTAATGAGTTAGAGCACCACTCCGTCAAACAATTGTTTTTCTATTTAATATATACAGAAAATATAAATAAGTATTTTAAAAAAATTAATACATAGTTAATTTTTTCCTTAAGAGCATAATTTAGCATGAAAAGAAGCATTGTAATTTATTTAAAGAGCACATTTTTTATTGTTCTAGATAATTTGACATACTTATTTTGGTTCATTTCAATGAACATTAATGAAAAATAATCACAAAAATCTATCAAAACTTTTCGTTGTGACAAATTAAAAATAAAATAATTTTTAAGTAATAAACCAAAAACAATTCAAACACAAACTACAAAATTTGTGATTTCCTAGTTTTACCCCATACCCAGTAATTATTTTCAATTGGAAAAAGAACTTTATTTAGAATATTTGAGTTTTATCTCAGCATCCTTATTTTTTGAAAGAAATAATTGGAAAATACAAAATAATATAAAAGTAGTTATAAAAATTTTAAGTTCTGGGCTTAAAATATTTGGGAAGAAAATATAGGCCAACCAATTGATAGCCATTAACAGGAACTGTGTCAAAGTCTATACAATAAAACAAACATTACAGTCTCAGCTGCCAATAAAAAGGCTGATAAAATATACATAAACTAATATACATTAATGCATAAATTCATTCATAAAGAATGTGTTTTAATTCCTTTACACAGCATTCTCAATAAAACTACTGTACATAAGTAAAAATAAAAAAAAAAACAATCCATTCATTCTTTATTTAGTACAGAAAACTAAGACAAATAGCATATAACTAAACAATACAGAACTTATTTAATAGGTACTACTAACAGAAACTAAAAATATTTCATTATTTGTTCTTTTCTTGCAAAACAATTTTCAAAGTGTCTCTGTCACACATCACAATGTATTTCGGATGAAAAAGCTTTACATCAATCACTTGACATCTCTAAAATAATGATTAGATAGATGGCAGTATAAATGGCGATGAAAATAAATGAAAACAAAAATGATCAAACCTGTTGATTCTGGCATTGCAGTCAAGATTTTTGTTGTTGAAATATTGTACAATATTTTGTACATATGTACACATTTTTTCACATGATTGTAGCGCCAATATATTTATGGTGCTCTCAATCCATTAACATTAAGGTCTTTGAGTATATAGGCTTTTATTTTTAATATGCACATCACAGATTTCTTGATTGAAATATTTAAGAGACCTAAATGTTTATGAATAGGGATATCCATTCGAGTAAGGATCTCTTTCCTTTTCATGAAGCTCAGCTGGTATGTATTCAGGTTTTTTCCGCTTGAAAAATCCAAGCTAAAATAAATAAATAAAAAAGATGCAGTTTAAATTGGAAGAATTTTAAAATTTTGTCAATAAACTTTTTTTTATAGAAAAAAGGGGGAAAAGAAAAGCATTATATTCCATTAAGCAAATGGCTACTTTTATACGTATGTCAATTTAAATACTGTAAAAGTTAAAATTTTTGTAAAAGGAATTTTTAGAGAAAAATTGATATGAAATAAGAAAAATGACAAGCATTCCCTTTCTATAAACCTAATACAGTGCAACTTGTTGAGTAGACTACATGTCTATGTATTGTTGTCCCACAAGTGGTCAACTTACAAAGGTTTCACAGTATCAGTTTAATGAAAATAATATAGTACAAAGTTCATTCAATTCAAAATTGAAATTCTGAAAACTTAAATATTTTTTACAAATCATTTTAAGGAAAAAAGTCCTTTATAAGCCTAGATGTGTGTATTGTTCTATAAACAATTTAAGAATACAAACTTGTGCAATTCAAAATTCACTGGAAAATTTAAAAACTCTAGTCAAAAGTTATACTACAATAAAAACCAATTTACAGCAAAGTGCCATCATAGACAAGACTGAAACAGCTTTGTTTAAATGCCCAGGTTAGGTGTCAGGTGTTAGGTTTCTTTATTTGAATGTTTTACAATAATATAAGCAGAAATTTTTTTTCTAACTATATTTGAAATATTCCACAATTTTTTTTTTCAATTAAGCTTACTGCAACTCTAACGAATAATGATATAAGCCAATAAATGTTAAGTTTTCAGAAATTTTTTAATATATAAAATTGAATATTTTAAATGGCGAAATACAAAATTTGCACGAAATCAGTCCAATTTTGTATTTTGCCATTTAAAATTGCACTTTTTAAAATAATGTAAAAATTTGTATACCATACAATTCAAATTTTTTTTGATTATTACTAAATAAAAAAATATTTACTGAATATTTACTGAAATTTATTTATTTACTGAAATTTATTTATTTAATGAAAATTATTTACTGAAAGTTATATTTTGCATGGAATTGTCTTTGGATAAACGAACTCTATAACAGTGTGCAAAATTTTTTCAATTCACTTAAAAAAGTCCTTGATATATGGTGAAATACGCAAAAAGTAAAATTAACATTAAAGGGTTCAAACTTTGGAGTCTCATTTACTAGCTTGACCAAACTATTAAGATCACATTTTTATTTCGGGGTCTGAAATCTGAAGCTGTCGGAAATTTTTTTATGTTTATTCAGAGAAAATACGTTTTTGAGTCTGAATTCGTAACTTAAGATATCATCTGCACTTATCAATTAGCCTATTTGAGGTCATCCCCTTGAGCCATTAAGATTGAGTCCTAGAATGTGAAGATCTGATCATTAGATCAAAAGTTATTCAAGGTGGTCCATTTTTTACATATTACTATAAAAAATCTGCTCAAGTATTCTGTTTGTTTCCTGATTATTATTGAAGTTAAGCATTATTTTGTACACATTAGTCTTATATTTTTAAATTCGGTGTAAATATATGCGGTATTTTTGCACACTCATGATATGACAATCTCCCATTATTTTCTCTTTGGACAACTATAGTCATTACATCTATTGCAGAAACAAATAATGAAAGCGACCATACCTTCCAGAGACAAAATATAAGTAGTATGAGCAACAGAAGTCCACCACAAACAGCTAAGATAATAATCCAAAGGGGAACCTCTTCAGGTTTCTGATACAACGGAAGATCCGGCAAAGCTTTTGTCACAGCCTGCAATACACAGTTTAATAATTAATGAAAAAATTATTTATTAGCAATATTTCTATAAAATAGTTATTAACTACTATAAAAACGGGTTGCACATTTTAAAAAAACTGTATACTAATAGCAACTTTACCTCAAACATTTTAAGAACAAAGAAATATTTACAGCATGAAAACTAGATCACAAATACTTAGAATTTTATTTCTTGTAGATTACAGTAATCAATAAATGGAATATAGGTTTAAACTTAAATTAATGACATTAAATTGTTTATTAATTTAGAGATGTTTTAAATTATTTATTAATTTAGAGATATTTTAAATTTTTTATTAATTAAGAGATATATACATATTCATGAACAAAAAAAAATTAACAACATGAAAATTAAATCGCAAATACCTAGAAATTTATAGCTTGTAGGTTATAGTAATCAGTAAACAATTTAATACGGCTTTAAATTTAAATTAGAGACATTATATTATTTATTAATTTAGAAATATTTTTCCTATGTAAGGAAAATAAAGGGATCTTACAGGAATTATAAATATGAGTCCAAATGTTCTGAAATCGGAGAGCTATTTTTATACGACTGTAGTGACATCGGGAAATAATTTTCTGTGGTAATATAACTACGGTTTAAATTTTCAAAAGCATATAACTTTTTCTAAAGAATAGAATAGGTTTCATTACAATAAAAATAAATAACCGGTGTTTAGAAAACCGTAAAAAACACAGCTCGAGTTATCAAATAAGTAGGCAAAAAACAAAAGTTTTAATTATAAAAAAAAACAAGCTGTAAACTCTTTTGTTGCAGACCTCATGCCAGTGCAGTGCAACAGTTTCTTTTGTTGACTGTCACACGTCATATGCTGGTATGAAACAAAATTGCTCAAATAAAATAAAAAAATCTCAATATAACTTAGTACGCATTATGATACATATAGTCATGCTGTATTACATCTTTCCAGTCATAGTTACTATATAATTTTAAAAAGTGCTCTTTTGGGGAAAACATATTTCTATGATGGGACAATAACCACCAATACATAATTTCATGACTGGCAGACCATCTCTTGAAAGACACTTACAAAATTTTAAAAGAAATGTTGAAACTAAAATCTGTAATAGTTGATAAAAAATTTGTGAATTTTTTTTCTTCTAAAAAAGAAAGAAGAGTGTGTCCCTGCTTTTAAAGTATATAATAAGTTACACATGGATACTTAAACATTGAAAATAAGTACTTTAAAAAAATTTAGAAATACAATTTTTCTACAAAATTTAAAAAAATATGGAGAATAAATAAAAAAAAAAAACAGACTAATACAAGTGTAAGAAGAGTGAATAGAAATATCATGATGATTGCTTAAAAATTGAAATATCACTATGGTAATTCTCCACAAGGATGTGAGCTACTTTGAAGGTACAAGATGATAGTATTGATCCTCAGGCCGGTTGACTCAGCCTTTTATACCTTCGAACATGCTTGGGGACTAAACACTGAAGACTGAGATGGGCACAGTAGGCCTTGGCCCTCTATGGGCTGTCACACAACTGAGTATAGTTTAGATGATGGTATTGAACTGAACTGCTATTGTATAAAATTTATTTTAGTGTTATGGAGAAATTTTAAAACGGGAATTCAGTCACGTGTAAACTTTGCTCAACAAACAAAAGCTGTCTTTAAAGTTGTCTGCTTCTAATTTGAACTGCCATACCTCCAAATGCGAATGTATACACATGAAACACTAAAAGAATACACAAAATATCACTCCAATGGAAAGGAATAAATATTCTCTGCAACTTTCAATGCACTATATTTCAGGTTGGAAATTAAAAAAAAACATTAAACACGTAACAAAATTGCTAAGATTTGATAATTTCCTAGCAATTCTTAAATTAAATATTCATTGTCAAGAGAGTTATAAAAATATGAAGGTTAATTACAATAGCTTATGTAAACATGAATAAATAAATATCGACACGTTTGAAATAGCCTATTTATTATTCAAAACCATTTTGAACATGGGTGTAAATTAATCTTTCTGGCAAAGTTCATCTCCTTAAAATAGTGATTTCATTTTAAAGGCAGTTAGTAGTCATTACATTTAACAAAAAGGGATAAAGTAGTTGTAGTTAACTACAAAAAATTAAACTTTTGTCGACCACTACTCTTAGTATAATTTTAAAAAACTAAAATCTTTCATTAGTGGTGGTTATCAGCATTCCTGTATTATTTTACTTACAGAAGCAAAATCATTCTTAGGATCCTGTTGTATATCTAATCTGGGATCCAAGTAAATCTTGGCACGGGACACAATATCCACTCGATCAACAGTTGCATAATCCTGAAAAATACAAGAATACCAATGTACTAATTTACTCTACAAAAAAATAAAATCAATTATTAATTTCTTTTTAACGATCAATAGAAAATAACAGTCGATAAATAACAGTCATTAAACCAAAACTACAGATAAATGATGAAAGCCTTGAAATTGAAATGTAGTTGTTGGTGTGGCATAAAAGATTCAAACACCTAACGATCAATGGGAGGCAATGCTTGTGATAAGCGTTGATAAAAAATGAGAAACCGACAGTCTATTTTACGGGTATGGCAATAAGGGTCTAATCATTAGACTCTAATGTTACAGCAAGACAAATGCCTAATGCTTAATTAATAAAATAAAATAAAACAGCCTCTGACTCATTATGTTTTGATTGCACTTAATATTTTTAACCATTTATAAAAAAAAATACTTTTTTAATATAAAAAAATGTCTCAGTATTTAAAAGTAACATTAAAAAGTTTTTTCAGACAAGCGAAGATTTGAAGTCAAGCAATTTAATAACAAAAGTGTTTAGTTTGAGCATTACTCAAACATTCAAAATTCAAAGTAACGAAACCAAATGGTTTTCGCTTTAAAAAAATCAACAAAATAAAAAGTTATATCAAATTAGTAACAGTAAAATAGTCTAGAAAAACCAAAATGAGTAAACTATTAAATAAAAAGAGACAATATCATTAAAATACAATGGTGACTAATAAAACTCTACAAAGCTCGAAGTTCACAGATCTTAGTTAAAACTATAAGATGTAAAAGGAATAAATATTGATCAATAGAAAAAGTGATGAAAAGTTTTTAACAAAATAGAAATGTAGACAAACCTCTACAAAAGTCTTGCTCCACATTCTAGCCCTTATACTAATGAGAGCATTTTTATCTGGAAGTAAATCTTTGAAGATACATTTGAAGAAGTGGCATTTAGCAGTTCCTTCATCACAGTCCTAATTTTTTTGTTCAAAAATAAAAAAAAAATTATAAAATACTTGAAATAATAATTGAACTCAGAGAATCAAAATATTTAAGTTCTTTTCAAAATCAAATAAAAATTAATTTTTATATGTGTAACTGTGAATGGCTGAATTTGGTGGTTGTTGACTTCCACTGATGAATGTTGACAATCACATGTAGACATTTGGTTGTTGAATGTTGACATTTGGTTGTTGACACTTTGGTAAAGGCCCAAAATATATACTAGGTCTAGTTAAGTGCCAATGCCCTGTATACATTTGCCTGGTGTGCCCTACATCAATGTTTTCTTAAGGTCAAGTGCCACTGCCCATTATGCATTTAATTGGTGCTTTGAACACTGATGCTTCCCCTAATCTATCATCAGCACATATTAAAATAGCGAGTAAATATAATAATATCAACGAATAAATTAATATCCAATTGGATATAAAAAATATTTCGGACATTCATTACAGTGATTATGTGAGTGTTGACATTCATTGGTGAAAGTCGAGATTCTCTCGACTTCGATCATTCACGCTAACATATGCACATGTAATTGCATGCTTTGAAAACATTCTTATAATTCATTGCAAAACTATTCGTTTTTTAAAAATGCTATTGAAATATTATTAAAACATTATACTTAAACAAATATAACATAAACAATACAATTTTTAACACTAAATTGAATTTCAAAAAATAATTTTACGTAATGTCGTCACTTTAATATTAAAATTCATTAGCATTCATAGTCAACTATTTTTGGATAAAAATTTTATATTTTTACTATTTTCTGATAAATTTTTTGCACAATTCAGTGAATGTCCATTTTTAAAAACAAGATATTTTCAAAAATATGACAAATCGTTTTGAAAAGTAAAATATTAAGTTTTGAAACAAAGTAACACATAATGACAGTTGTTCTGAAACAATCTCTTTTAAACCTTGTAAAAACATGCATCAAGTTATTTTTAAAACAAATAAAGATATATCTAAAATTTAATGAATAGAACTCTGAATAGATTTTGATTATATTTACAGGAACCAATTCACCGTTTACAGATGAGATTAAACTAAGAAAGATTAATTTGTGAGTAACTTACCATTGTAGCTATGGTTAGAGTTCGAGGGTCCAATCGAATTTCTTCTGGTGCTTGAGCTTCATTTACGTCTCTTTTTGTCCTCAATCTTTCTGCTTTGATTGATTCAGTTTCTATCTCACGAATATATGGATCTTCTTCTCTTTTAACCTTAAATATCAACAATAGAAGATCATAAATCATATTTTAAACTGCCCCTACAAATCTGAGATTTATTAAAACTGATTTGAATACACAAATGTTTGTAAATAAGGCTATATAATTTAAATAATTTATACTTTCTTTTTTAGTTATTTAAGATCTAAAATAGTTTCTTTTTATTACTTGACTTTTATAAGTAATATATTTACAAAGTTATTAACTAGTTACTGTCAAGTGGCATATTTATAGAAAAAATCTTTTTTTTCTCTAATACATACATTTGATTGTGAGGAAAAGAAATTTTTTTGAAAATTTATGGTTAGATAATTTCAGTTTCAAATGTAACAATTTTTCTCAATATCTATTCTTTTTAATATTTAAAAGATTTTATTAAATGAAAAAATATTAATTAAAAGACAGTCTTTTTTATTCATAGAAGCAATCTTTATTAAGTTTAAAGGAATAAAGAAAAAAATGAAGTACTTATTAAATTTTTTATCAACATATAAAAATATATATTTACTAATATATTATTAGATAACAGATGACATTCCTTGCATATAAGAAAATTATAATATATGCTATAAAGAAAACTAATAATGAAAATTATAAATAAATGTAATATTAAGTAGAATATACAATTGTTTCAAAAAAGGTGATAGATCAAGCCAATTGCAGACTAGAAGATTTTGAGAACAGAATTTTTAATAATATTCAACGTAACTTTGAAGTAAATAGTTAAGAGTACCTGTAATCGTAGTGGATTGATTATTTCTTGGTCTAATACACAGTAGCCATTACCTTGCACCTAGTTTTCAAAAGAGAAATAGTTTATTTAGTTAAAGAAAGTAATAGAAGTGAACAATGCAGAAAAAAAACTGTGTGCACAACCTAAACACATAGAACACCTAAAGACGAAACTAATTTTATTCCAAAAAAGTGAAAAGTAATAAACAATTTAAAAATTTTAAAAGAGTCAATACAATTTTTAAAAAAAAATCCATTAGAAAGTGAAAATCAGGACTAATTGAAAAGTGAAGATAAGAAGAATAGGAGCTAAGCTTTCTAAAAATGTTAAACAAATGTTGTTTTAAATGGGTGAATTTTGAAAATTTTATAAGGCTTCGAGTATTGTGTTTACTGGTCACAACCTCTTCAAACATAGAGTTAAGATAAAGTTTTAATAAATGGGTCACTACTTTGTTTAATAAAAAATAATTATAAATTCAAGGTATAATATTCAAAATACTGAAATGGAGTTTATGACTTGAAAATTAAAGCAAAATAATTAAAAAATGATTGATAGAAAAAATAATAAAACGGATGTACAAGAAAGGTTTGATAACTTGAAAATAAAATATTTAATTTTCAAATTAAATGATGACTTCAAGAAAAATGTTTCATTCTGGAGTAACTGATGAAAGTTTTTACTTAATTAACAAATATTATTAACCTAATTTACCTTAGGAGACTCCATCAGGTATAATAACCATTTTCCATTTTTGGTGAAAGTTTCTGTCTGGTATGGCCACTTCACATGAATTTCAACCTCCTTAGCTTTCCAAGGACCATAATTAATAAGCTATAATAATTAAAAATGAATAATTATAATTACTATTCAGGTATGCCAAAAAAATTTAATTAATGCTGACAGTACAGTATACTCTCGATAGTTCGAACTTCAATATCTCGAAAACCATGTTAGGTCAACAAAATAAAATATTTTTCTTCTTGGCATTATATATCCATTTAATATTAATTTGAATTCCGATGACGAAAAGTTTCTTCTCAAAACCTTATTATGTTGAATTTTTTTTCACAATAGAAATTGAATTTTTTCGGAAAAATCATAATTATTTTTATTTTACTGCTAAAAATAAAATTATCATTGTTGTATTTAGATTTTCGTCAACTATCATTACATACATAATTATTAGTAGTTATTTTTATGTTTCATGACTCTACTTTTTAGAGTAATATTTCAGAATAAATTCTTCTACTTTTCAGAACACATTTAGTTCTAAACTTGTTATCTCGAAAACTCGCTTATTCAAAAATTTTTTAGCATCTCTTCAACTTCGAAAATATACTGTATTTAGCTTTGAAAAGCAAATATAATTAATAAATATAAATACTAATGAAAATATTTAAATCAAGTTTGTCTTTTTTTGAGGAATATTTTCATAAATTACTTTTGAAAAATATAAATAATGAAAGTTACTTTTAGAAAATTCATTTTAATTAAAAAAATGTTTAAGTATTTTTTTGTTTTGTTGATATTTCTAAGCAAAATTTAGCAGTGCATCTTTACTAATGCAAATTAGTGACTTTAATTGAAGCAGGACTTTGAAATAAGATAAAACGCTTCTTCCATCCACCCAGAAATGTCTTAATAGTTAAACAAGAAATGTGTTCTTTTTTTTACGTTGGGGTTCATTGAAAATAATAAGTTTAAAAAGGGTTTTATTTACAGCATTTTTTTCAAACACTGGAAAAAATCTAACTTTAAAATCAAGCATAATGAATTTTTTTAAAGCTAATTTTTCAAAAAATGTAATTAACTCATAAAAACTTGAACACTATTATAAAATGTTTTAGAAGAAAACATATTTAATGTCCTTAAAGGTAATGTTGGTAAACAATCACAATATGCCTAATTAACGTATCGATAAGCAAAGAATGCAAGCTTCATTTTCAAATAATACAATAAGGAAAAATATTAAATTTTTAAGTAAAAACTCTTTAAGCTCCATTATGTTTGTGAATATCATTTTTGATACTCAAATAAAAAGTAATTATTTAATTTATTGGAGTAAAAACATGTACATAAACAGGACTATGGAACTGTTGGGGAGGGGCTGAGGGGCTTTTAGCCACTTACATTTTATAAATGAAGGGACATAACCCTTTCTAAAACTAAAATTTTTCACTCTTTTGTGTAATTAAATTTACAATTAAAAAAATAGATCATTTTTTTGTGTCTGAATTCTAAAAAAATGTCTATATTCTAAGGAAGCTTTTAACATTTCTTTGAAGAAAGCTACAACCAAATCCCCCCCCCCCCCGCAGAGGTGTCTCCATTGGTGACTGATGGGGAAAATTCTTGCTTTCAAATGTCACAGCAAACAATAAAAAAAAAGAATGAAACAAAATTTTAAAAAAATAATGTCAAATGGGAGATAAATTATTTACAAGTAAACAATTTCTTTTATTGATTTTATTTTCATTATTTCAAATTAAAGTTGCGTTTGAAAATAAAAATCAAACGAAAGAAAATTTTCATGAAGCAAATTTATTTTTTGATTCAACATACCTTTCTCGTTTTTTTTCTCCAAAAGAGTTGCCAAGTTTGTTTAAACACTTATCATACTTTACAATTAGATTTAGTATACCCTCTCTTCATGCAAATTCGCCCCCTTAAACAAGAGGTCACAGCCGTTTTCACTTCTTCCTCATCATTGCACTGGTTGCAGTCAAAATGATGTTTGAAACATTGGAAAAGATGAAAATCACTTAGGGCAAGGTCTAGGTAGCATGGAAGGGTGGTTCAAAACTTCCCAGCCAAAAGAATCCAATAATGCTCGGAACTGAGCTGTAGCGAGAGTCATTGTCATGGAGTAGCAAACTTTCCTGTCAGCATGCCAGTAGGAAGCTTCGTAAACTTCACAAATCTGCCAGTGAATGTATGCAGCTGACTGGTTTTATGCCGACTAAAAACTCGTGACTGACTGTACCTCATATTTGCTAAACTTGAACATTTTAAAGACACAGAACTGACTGTACAGGTTACCTATACAGCTGTAACTGGGCACAGTTGTTCCCAAGGAATGGCAGGACATGCCGCAAGCAATTGTTGCGACGCAAGCATCACATATTAGTGTACACAACAAAACCACCCTTATATATATATAATNATATATATATATATATAATGCAAACAAAAAATTGAAAAATGAAAACAAATCTACTTATTTTGATTATGAAAAAAAAGTGTCCCAAAAGAGACGGGCTTCTAAACGTGCTTCTGCATCAATAAAAAAAAAAAGTACAATAGTTACCAATTATGTACTTTCAAGTTAAAATATGTCAAACACATTTCAATCATTTTTGGAAAAGTTTACCTCATAGGTATGGATAATTAAGCTACCAATGTCTTCTCCAGTTTTCATATTTTCTTCTTCAACAAAATGTTCCCCATAAACAACTTGTTCTGGATTTGAAACACTGAAACATAAAAAAAAATAGTTAATTATAATAATTAATTAAACCTTTAAAAGAAAGAAGGATATTTCTGCGCGAAAATAAAGGTTAAAAAGTAGACACAAGAAAGGATATAAATAACATTGATATAGTGGAAAATGGATAATTGAACGCTGACAACAATGCTAAAAACATTTAAACAAATGTAATAAAAGCAAATTTGGAAGCTTTGGTTTTGGCAAGTTCTTGACTAAAACAAAGGAAAATTCGATAAGAAAAGACTTTAAATTATTGAAACGATCTTCTTCTCTGTCAAAAACACTTCTTTGATAGTAAAAAAAAAGATACGACAAGTGCTTCCAAATTAATGAAACAATTCAGAAACTTTCAAAAGCCTAAAAATATTATTTTTTGAAACCTAGCAAAGTTGTTTATGTCAAAAGGATCCATAAATTTTAAGTATCAAAATTATTATTATAATTATTTTTTTCTTTTTTAGTTTTAAGGCCACTAAATGTAAAGAAATGCTGTTCCCTCAACAGATATACTATATTTGAGTAGGGTTGGTAAGGTCTGAAAAAGTAGAAGATTGAGCAAATATTAAATCTAAAGAATTGAATGCAGGAAATTAAAGTTAAAAAAAAATTAAATCCTTGCAGGCAGACTAAACAAAAATTTTCTTTAATTTACTATTTTTTAGAAATTCATGCCCTCTATTATTTTAAACAAAAAGAGATGAGAATTGCAAAAACCAATTAAATTTCTTATATCTTATGATTTTTTCCGTTTTTGTGAGAGGCTTCAACTACATTTCTGTATTTACACTAGGAAAAATCCTTGAATTGTTTCACTTATGCTATCAACTTTAGATTTTTTTTCATTAATTTTAATCCTATCACTAAAAAAAAGGCAAACATTTTTTGAAGAACAATTTTGATACTTTAAAAAAGAGTTGTCCTTAAAATCCAAACTGATTTTACAACAAAATAAAAAAAATTAACAAAAAAAAAAAAANAAAAAAAAAAAAAAAAAAAAAAAAAAAAAAAAAAAAAAAAAAAAAAAAAAAAAAAAAAAAATCTATAATTCAAAATCAAAGAAATTTATTTTTGCGAGTGCTTAGAAAAACAAAGTTTAAATAAAAAAAATTTACCCTCTAAGTTCTAGTTCAGCAACCCTAACAATATCGGCACGAAGAACATAATCCTCTTCAGGTGCTACTTCTATGCTTGTTCTAAAAAATAAAAACAAATAAATAACTTTTCAATTTTCAAAGATAATTATAAATAGTAAGAGTTGGAACAATGAGAAAGTTTTACAAACTTACGTATTGGCTTTTAAAATAAATTTCAGCTGCTTTTCATCATCAGAAACATTTCTAGGGCTAAATCGAATTTGAAACTCAACCTGCAGAAAGAATTCAGTATTTAATCACATATTAAGTATTCACAACAATTTAGTCATTTTGTATAATTGCACTTCGCAACAATACTATTTTAAACATATTACGTATTATCAAGAAAATAGTAGTAAAAGAAATCATACTTTTTTAAGAATCAAAGCTGGTATTATTTATTAATACTTCTCAAGGCAACTGAGACAAGAAAAAAAATCCATGGAAGAACAAACTTCTTTTCAACATGTAGTAGTTAAAATTAATTTGTATTAACTACCGAACGAAAGAAATCTCATTCTTTCGGAAAGGCATAGTTTTATTTTTCTGTGAATAGCGTTTTAATAAATATTAGATAGTTAAAAAATAATAAGAGATAGTTAAAATCTTGTGGCATGTTAGAGAATGTACTGATAATGAGTCTAGCCATCATTTACAAGAAATATATAGAGATTTCCAAAGATATTATAGTTTGAAAAACACTGGTGTCAACTAAAGAAATTAATTCAAATAAAAGAAATTCACAAAATATTATACATAACATTGTTCAAAGTTTTGAACTAATAATCTGCCCCATAAAACAAATAACTAAAAGAAAACCCATCTCTCTCCGTTTTTCTCTTTTTAATATGAACCTTATTTGCGAAGGAACTTTTTTTCCCTTGCAATTTTTTCATTTAACATTCATGTTATAACTCTAACATAAATTATATTTCTCAACAAACACATAAGTTTACTCAGTTTAAGGAAATATTTAGAATTTAACACTTTGAGAAAGGATGAAGAATGTCTGTTGTCATTTAGTAAAAAGGTTGCAACATACAATTAAACATACTTTTGCAACAAAGAACTGAAAGAAGTAGAAGTAAAAAAATTGAGAGTAGCCAGGTTGCTATTGGTTATATTCATATATTCGCTACTACTCAATCTTTTTTCCCGAGCACTCAGAAATTTCGACAAAAAGTATAGAAAAAGAGCGGAATAGCTGGTAAGGTAAACAGCAAATATAAATTTCATAAATTATAGGAGGGGGAATATTGCTTTTATTTTGTACTTTTCAACATATTTATATTTTCAGTCAAATTTGAAATGCTTTAAAATCTCAATCTGGCCCATTAGTCATACACTGTGCATCAGTGAATTTAGTACCAATCAAATAGATGCTAAAACGAAAAATTCTTTGAAAGAAAAAACACATAATAAAATGTTAGATATTAATTAATCATAAAAATTCTCCATTAATATTGAAAAGATACTTACAAATCCCTTGTTCATTGGATTTCCAATTTCGCACTTCAAAACGGTACTGTTGTGAGGTACACATTCTATTTGATCTCCTTTCTAGGAACACACATTTTAAAATTAAATTCATAAAAGCAACAACAAGATGAAAAAAAAGATTAAAGCACAGAAAGTTTGAAACTCTTTACATATACTAAGCAGTATAATAATATAATACAAGAGCGAATTGTTAGAAGAAATAAGTTCCATACAAAAAATATCGATTTATAAATACTCCACAAACACTAGTATTAGTAGTTGTCTTGTAAAGGAGTATGAATGTTAGAAAATAAACAGTGTATGATTTTTATTTAGATAATATTTTAGTACATAAGTAGAAAAAATTGACACAAAAGACATAATTGGGAAAAACATTTTTAGTTAAAATTTCTTACAACGTTTGTAATTTGTTATGGTTGTATTGGTTTATATTGTGTATTTTAGTTTCAATTTATACTACATTTGAATACCTAATAACAACAAATTTTTTTTTTTTTAAATATCACTTAGTTTGAGCAAAAAATCTTGCTTAAGTATAATAATGCAATGAAAGCTGTATTGGTATATTGTAGTGAATTTGCAAACGAATTTTTAAAAGACTTTCTTTATGTTTATTACCATAATTCTAAAGACAGATGGATGTAATACTATTTCATTACCTATTTACAAAAACAATAAATCTAAAAAATCTTTTTTCATTATTTTTTGATGGCCAAGAAATTGTATTAGGTTTGTTTTTTTCCAGTCTTGATGGTATTTTTATCATTTTTGTTTTTATAATTCAATATATTTATTTCCCATTCCACAAGTAGTTCAAATTTGTTTGAGAAATAGCATCTAAAAATTATCTAGGTAAAAAATAATCAAAAACCGTCAAATTTGGAATGACAGCCACCCTCTTAACAATCTATTGTAGAAAAATTTTACATCTCTATTTTCGAACCATAAACAATAAAATAATATAAAACTGTAAAAACAGAAAGATACAATATTTCAAAAATATTACTTTAATATATTTTTAATATTTATCATTTGCTTTATTTATTTATTAACTATATTTATCTATTTATTTATAAATATTACTTAAAATTTACACTTTTTTATATCATCAAGTTATTATACTAGGTTTGTTTCTTTCCAGTCTTGATGCTGCTTGGAATATTATTTTTATCATTTACGCACGTAAGAAAATAAATAAATAACAGCATATTACATAAAACTTCAGTAACCAAATAATAATTCTTCAAAACATGAAGTTTCGTGAAAAGTTCCAATGGTACTTACAATAACTTTGCGACCAATATAGCTGACTGTGCTGGGATGAGTGACGTAGAGGGAGGCATCATAAGCAGGCTCTTTGTGGTTGTATAACACAATCGACAGATTTACCAATTGTTGACCCAAATGAAGAACAGGGACACCATTTTCTTGCCTAAAAAGAATAACGTCATACACATTACAACATTTAAGTGTAATTAGAGGGCTCTTCCTTTGCAATTTTAGGATATAGGTTAAATTAATTTTTCTATCTTTTTCCCATGACAAACTTCACTTATAGAATTATAATAAATTTTGGAGCACTCTCTTGACCAAACTATAAGGACCCTATTTCCCAGATTGCGGCTACCATGGTTTGGGAGTTAGATATCCGAATTTGCACAAAAAAAGGTACGTTTAATCAGAAAAAGTACGTTTTTGTACCTGATTTTGTAACTTAAAATATCGTTTGTACTTATTAGTTAGTACATTTGAGGTCATCCCTTAGAGCTATTACGACAGAGTCCTAGAATATGAAAACCCGATCATTAGATCAAAAGTTATTCAGGGGGGATCCTTTTTTTTGGCGCACTGTACATCATTGATATAGTGAAATATGAAAAAAACAAAACAAATAAACTTTTTTATATCAGGAAGAATAAGCATTCTTAATGAATAGCCTAATTGAAATTTATAAATTCCTTCAAAATTATAATTGGGAATAACACTAATAGACGAATTCACATAAAATAATTAAGGGAGGAATCTAACATTCTCATAAAAGCCAAAACCTTTCACTTGGTAAGCCAAATAGCAACATTAACATAAAAAAATTTGATTAGATAGAGATTATTAGATAGACAAAATTAATTATTTTTTTAAAATTATTGTATTTATTTGTAGGATTAATAAAATTTTAAACAAATCTTTGTAAAAAAAAATCATTATTTATTTTTAGACAACAGTATTTATAACACAGGCGCAGGAAAGTCTTTTTAATTTACGTGACACAGTAAAACATTTTCATGTGCATAAAAAAAATCCAACTGAGAAAAAATTATAATTGATTTTAATATAAAATTAAAATAATTAAATGAATAGTCTAATTTAATCAACTTACTTTGGAAGATTCAATTCAGCAGTAACATGCAGATCTGATTCACAAATATCATTTGACCCACAATCTTTTAAAAATTTGGCCTGTTGAAAGAGTCAATCAATGGTTTGAGAAATTACTATACATCAAATCACACATTTTATACATGGTTTATGGTTAGATAGATAATATATACTTTTAGAATCCATGTAAGAAATGAGGTGAAAAATGCGCTCAAGAGAGGAAGAAATAAAAACTTTCATGAAATTGGCAAAATCACAAGTGAGAAAGGTTGAAATAAAAAATTTCAAAACCAGTTTAACTTGCCTAAAGAAAAAAGAAACTGCCTTTCAACTACTCTTTGTTTCCTCTGGCAGTAAAAGAAGTTTTGATGAAATTAGAACAAAATTCATCAAAAGAAGTTTTGATGAATTTTGATTATTTCACTAAAACTAAAGTCGTAAAACATAAGCTTTAAGAAATTATGGTGAAAGCAGATGGAATTCAGTTTAATTTCAGTAGATATTTGTTTAATTAAAAATAATTTAAATTTTTTTTATTCAAACATTTCTATTCTCTTTGCAAATAAAACATGATTTCTCCCATACTTCTCACTGTTTCCCTCTTTATTTATAATGGTTTCTACAAATCGTAGATTTTTTTACATATGCCAGCATATTCCAACTTCTTACTTAAACATATAGGTGCTGCAAATAAAGCAAGATTTGAGGATACCATGGTAATAGAGAAGGGGAAAAGTGTGGAGAGAGGGGTAAACTTATAACTTTGAGAGACCTATTCCATTTACAAAGAGTATAATTTAGCACACATTATTAGTGCAATGATAAACACTGAAATTTTTAAAAAATTCAAATGATAAAAATAAATCTTTTTAATAAAAATAACAACACAAAACATACACAATTTGTCGGTGGAATGATAAATATTGAATTTCTGTTTAATTCAAAGGATAAAAATAGATAGCAAGATATTTTTTTGTATAAAAATAAAGACACAAAATATACACAGTTTAAAATAAAGAGAATCAAATGATTACCTCAAACACTTTAGATGCTTCTTGTTGATTCAAAATAGGATATTGATTAATATCAGGTATAGCCTCTCCTACTTTGGACATTCTGGGTTCTTTTTGGATTAACGTATAGGTGAGTTTAAATTTAATAGGAGTTTGAATATCAGTTTTTTCCTGAAAAGAAAAATAGCTATTTGAAAACCATATAAAATCTTTTATTTAGTTAGAAAAAGAAATTTCAGCACATTTTTCTAATGACCAAAGGTAAGATTTAGATGACTATTGCATCGTATGTATTTTTGGACGCTTTTGTAGCTCCAGGGCATTTTATTTATCCTAGACATTATTACGCCAAACCTTTACGGAATTTCTCTCCGTGATTTGGTTTACAGTGAAATCCTTCATCTTTTTCTTGATTAGGAGATTAGTATTGGCAAGAGGGACAGCTTTTCTTGACAGGATACAAGCTCCCTGTTCGCAAGGTAGTCAGCTACTTCGTTACCAGCAGACTACCTTGCAAAGCACGGAGCTTCTATTCTAGATTTCACAAGATCTAAAAATTAAAAAAATAACAAACAAACAATTTTTTGAGCAAATTGATTAAATTGGCATACTAGGTCATGAACCAAAATGCAAGACTTAACCAAAATATTGAATAATTCCCATAAATCTAGGTCAGTAGAAAACAGGGTACATAGCCAAATTATTCTATAAAAAATAAGCACCTTTTAAGCACTTTTGAAGCACTCAAAATATATTTTTAAGCACTTTAAAAAATATCATAATTAGGCAGGGTTGGAAAGTTTTTGACAATTGACGGTTTTATCTTGTTTTAACCGTCACGTCTAAAAACTAAATAAATAAAACCTTAAGACATTGTTTTAGACAATTGTCAAAAATCATGAAATTTTGAACTATGTAATACGAATGACGTTTTCATACGCTACGGACTAACAATACACCGAAATAGATTGGGGTTGAATTAATTGAGAAAACGGTTAATAGAACAATATGAACTGTGTCTTTTTGCATTGAAGCGAAAATCAACATAGTAAAGGAAATATCTCATTTTAAAAAGGGGAAAATTAAGCATTTCTTAAAAACACCCAATGAAAAAAGCACCTGTAAGGGCATTTAAAAAACGAAAATCAAAAATAAACACCTATAAGCACTTTTTAAAAACACTACACATCCTGGAAACATAGTAGTGTTGAAAGACTTCCACTAAAGAAAAAAAAATATCAAACCTACGATTAGAATTTCAGTTGTAGGGAATATAACTCTTTGACTCCACACAGATCTTTAATGTTCGTAAAGTCGAAAGTTATGCTTGGCTTATCCAATATAACTAACACCACGTAGGAAAGAAATTTAGCAAATAACTCAGCTATTATTGTCACAATAAGATCTCTGAGATTTGGGAAATTTACTTTACTAACACCGGGGTGAACGATGTTATCAAATTTATTGAAATGTTCAGCGATTTGGGAACTTCAAGGGATTGGGGTTCAGGATCTTGAATATATTTTTTAAATTTTTTTTTCATCCAGCTTGAACAGAGTATAATTTTTTTTTTGGATAATTGAGACAGAGGGATAAAATTGTTTTGATATCCAAGTTTCTGTATGCTTATTAGTTTATAAGAGACACACAAACCATTCATTATTATATATGTGAAGAAAGTTTTAAATAATCCCAAACTAAAGTTTCCGCATTTTTAACTAATTAAATGAAAAATATTTTAGTGAATCTCTTTTTTTAAGCATAACAGGTAAAAGTTTTAAATTATAAAGCAACAAACAATACATTATTTTCAGAAATTGAACCTTCCAACAGAAATTCAATTTGTAGACATTGAATCTAAAAATAATGTTTTGTAAGTTCATAAAGTTATGACAAATAACATAAGAAATACCTTCAAGTAGACAAGCTGTCTTGAACAGTGAGGTTCGTAAAGGGAGACACCACGGATGACTAATTCTTTTTCAACAACATTTGGTGCTTCAGATTCAAGGGACGCCTTAAACTTTGCTCGATAGTACTTTTTTCCGGTAAATGTTTCGGCTTCTATTCTGTACCGGAGTTTGATGTATGTGCCGTGAGATAAGACAGATGAATTGAACTGAAAACATGCCTCAAAAGAAAAGCTAGGGGAAAAAAATGACAGTTACAAGAAAAGATAAATAATAAAACAATAAAGATACATGAAATATAAAAAGCTTTAACGGAGACTTTTTATATTGATTCTTTGTTTGAATTGTCTTTAATTTATTATTCTGAACAAAATCATTTCCCTTAATAATTCACATTCTGTTAAAAAAAAATTCAAAACCATATATCACACATATACACTATCTGGAGCTTTATGTGAGGATTTTATAATTTAAAACAAATTGATGACAATACGAAATAATGCAATTTTCTGTTTAAAAAACAACTTTTCTGTAATAATGTTTATAATTTTCCGTATTACAGTAAACAAAACATACAATATATATATATATCAAAAGTAACATTTCCCCAACAATAATTATAAAAAATTATTATACATGTTAAACTACTTTTAAAGTTTGCAAAAGTGTCCAAAACATTCCTTGAATTTAACTACATAAAAAATTAACTTATAGCCATGCATAAAACTAATGGGCACTTTCAAAATTCAAAAATTTTATTAAAAATACGGTATTTTTTACATATTAAAAAAAATTCGGAAAGCAAAATTAGATCATTAAAAAAGAAGGAGAAATTAAAACTTTTCTTTAGTTTTCAAAAGCTTTCAATAATTCAACAAAACACGATTTCATACATATATAATAAATCCAGTTCCACTCCTTCCTATTAGAACATAACTATAATTACAATTAATGAATTAAATTTTTAAAAAAAAATAGAGTTATAGATTGAACTCGTTCATTCTCATACCATTGGAGCTTGCACTATAAAACTATCAATGAACCTGAAATTGTTTTCAAGTTATACTAAAAAAGTTTTCTGATGTCATATTTAATCTTTCAAGAAACCAAATTCAAAAACAAACAATTAGAAAACATCAAAATTTTAATAATTGAGTCATTGGAATTATGCTTGAAGAGTATATTATACTACGTAATAAGGACAAAAATCTGGATCTGCTAGCCTATAAAGAAGCGTTTTACCTTTCTCAAGTAAAGTGATCACCTAATCTTGAAAAGCTAGGTTGTTTTTAGAAGAAAAAAAAGGAGTTTAACTTGCTACACTTTAAAGACTAACAATTGAGCGTGAGAATAACACACTCATTTCTACAGTAAGAAATTTTAAGCGTACCAAACCGAAGAAGAATTTTGGTCTTCCAAACATCCTTTGACTTTTGGATCTATGCTTGAAATGTTACCTTCAACGTGAGTTATGATGTCAATAATAGGCCTAGATCTGAAAAAGAGGATAAATTAAAATTAAAACGATAGATAAAGGAAGTTACTAACACAAACAAAAAAATAATTAAAAATTCTTAACAACTTAAGAGAAAATTTTTAAAAATATAAAGAACTATAAAGTAATGAAAATCTCTTTTTGTTGGTTTGTTTGTTGACATCACATTAGATTGATTGGTTGTTTGGTAGCTAACAACTGATTGGTTGCTAGCAATGGTGATACAATATTGCCACATGCACACACTACACTACCACAATTTAGATTGGAAGGCAGACCTTCCTCCCATTGACTTTACCCACTCCCACTAAGAAGATTCTTAAAAATTAGAATGGGCCAAACAGTTCAACAATGATTTTTTACAGATGCATAACCTCTGTAGCTTTGTTATTTTGAACCCAATATAGAAGACAAAGGAATTCCTGGATCAAGTATTGGAAGAAATTTACCTTTGTGGAGGACTTTTTGATGGAACAAGCCTGCATTTGCATTACATGGTGAGGAAAACCATGAAAAACCTTCCACGGTCACGGGACTATAACACATGATCCGTCTACCACTGAGGATATTTTACGCGCACTGTGGTCGGTGCAATTCAATAAAAATTCGAAGAATCCATGATCCAAACAATACAATATTGTTCTGAGGGAATGTAGCATCACCCGATAACCAGCCTTGAACATGAGTTAAGCCCTGGTAAGGGATAATATACCAGCAAATATCTATTTCCCTCCCAGATTACGACTCCCCCCAATCTTTTAGGGGTCAAAAATCCAAATCTGTCTATAAAAAAAGGTATGTTCATTCCGAGAAAGTATATTTTTGTGTCTCATTATGTAACACTGTCTGCACTAATTAATTAGCATATTTGAGGTCACCCCCTCGAGCCATTAAGATTGAGTCCAAGAGCATTAAAATTTGATCATTAGATTAACAGTTATTCAGGGTAGTCCATTTTTAATTTTGCGAACTGTTACATAATTATATTTTAAGATAGCTCACCTAAGGAGAACAATGCTATCACTTTCATAGGCTCCAACTAATAAATCGGGATATCCATTGCTATCGAGGTCCATCCCTCCAGACAATGAGTAACCAAAGGTGCTGAGGTCTCTTTTGGACCTCGCTTCCTTAGCCAGGTCCTCTACCCTAATAACCTGAGATGGTTCAGTTATCAGACCCGATTCAGACCCTATATAGATATAGACAGCCCCTCTCTCATCATATGGAGCACCAATGGCCAAGTCTAAAAAAGAATGAAAAATTTCATTATCAGCCAGTTGTAACTTTTTTTATAGAGATCACTTGAAAATTCTAATAATGTAAACGATTTCCTTTGAATTATTTCATTTAAATTAATAAATTTAGTAATTAATTAAATTAATAATTAAATTTTAAATAACAATTAAGTTTAAAATTATTAATTATTTTTAATTGCTTAATTTTTATTAATTACTCAATGTTATTCTCAAAATACACAACAGGGTAAGCTTCTAAAGTGAAGAAAGAATTTTCTGACCTTTCCAAGTAAGTTTAGGCAGAATTTAAATATTATAAACGTTTTCAACTAATAAAATATAAGGTTTAAGTTTTTGAAGCAATAATGCAACATAAAATTTATGTTTATAAATAAACATAAAAATTAGTTATAGATTGAACCTAAAATAAGTGTAATAGCAATGAATAAATTACATCACTTAGATATCTTCTAAATATTATCAGCCATAAATAAAAAAAAGTCATATGCAATTACATTACAAAAGAGTCATTATGAAATTTGAATAAACCACTTAATAAACAAATTCAATTCACCTGAAATTTTAAATTCCCTTAAAATAACGTTTCAAGGATGATTACAGCTTTCATATGTAATAAACAATACATGAAGTTGAAGCACCTTTTTTTTAGAGTACATGGAGTGCATTTTGGCAAAAAAGTGGCAATTAACAATTTTTAAATGTAATTTTTACATTTCATAACCCAATGACCTGTAGAAATTATTAATCTTGCCCAGTATTATGAAGCACAAATTATTTCTAAAGATTATATTTTGAACTATTAAAAAATTATTTAAAACAATTTTTTTTTCTTTAACAAGCAGACAGATACAAAAAATTAATTTCAATTATCCAAATTTGTGATAGACTAATAAATTAATAAGTGTAACGTTTAAGACCACCTGTTTCTACAAAATTTTATATTTTAGTGCTAAAAATTAAGTAAATAATTTAAATATCTAAAAATATAAAAATAATTTTATATTACCTGGGTAACCATCTTTATTTAAATCACCCAAATTTGCAACAGAGAGACCAAATTGTGAATCAGATTTTCCAGTCAGTTTGATAGGTTCTGTATCTTCAGTTATGCCCTATGCAATAAATAAATATTTTCAGTTTAAAAGTTGATAATAAAAATCAAACATAAAGGTAACTTATATTTTAATTATTTGCACAGTAGATATTGTAATAAGCAAATATAAATGCATGATTTATTTAACATAATTAAAATCAACTGCAACCTTAATTTCTTAAATAAAATTTTTATTTAATGGCAAAACATTTGTCATTATTTTGTCATTCTTTAAGAAAAGTTTAAAAAAAATTTGCCATTTTAAAAATATTTTCTGTAAAATATGATGAAATTAATATTTAAATCGAAGAATAATTAATAAGCCACTCTTAAAAGAAAAAATTATAACTTAAAAAACATCTTGATCTGTTTCATTTTATTAAGTAAAATATACAAAATAAACAAAATGAAAAAAACCGAGCTAACAATTCTATAAACAAAATATATTCAACTGTTGCAAATATATTTAAAATCATTCTTCACAGGTTTCAAATTAAAGATTTCAGTGAAAAGTACCAAGTGGAGTTTTGAAAATGTTTGAATTCATGAGTGAGTAAATTTATTAAAATTTACAATAGAGAGAAACGGAATTGCAGTTATGCATCAATTATTTTTTATTTGTATAACATACTTTTTAAAATAATTTCATATTATTTTTATAAATCAAAAGAAAACTTCTAAGCATACTTACAAATTCTGAATTCATGTAAACATAAACAGCTCCTCCAATACCTTTAGAATAGTAGAATGGTGAACCAACTACAAGATCTAAATAGCTGGAAAATAGTAAGTATGTCAATAAAATTTTTTAAAAATACAAATAAGACTTTTATTTTCTGTGGATAAAAATCAATCCATAAAAGTCCGAAAGGTATATTTATTAGTAATTGCAAACATGGAATGTGAATATGTTTTGGCGGAATAATACATTCATAACATAAATTCAAATTAAAAATACTTTAAAACAACAAAGCAAAAGCACAACAACTTCACAATATTACATAACGTAACGACTTCATGTTAACTTAAATTAATTGTTCAATCTACAAAATTAAAACTATAGATTACACATGTGTTTCTAATTTATTTTTCTTCTTTACATAACGATTCCCATTCGCATAATTAACACATTTTTTTAAACAGATCTTTTTTTAACATACTGCACTGATGCAACTTTCAAAATTAATAAATAAAACAGATATTGTAAAAGACATATTATAAGAGCTTAATATGTCGTACGAAACTTTTAAGACAGGTACAAAATTAATAAAAAAAATTTAACAAACTCACCCATCACTGTTAACATCGATAGTGGCCAAAGAATAACCATAAGATGAGGCAAATTGTTCTCCATTGAGTACCAGCTCAACTAAGAAGATAGTATCCTTGCCTTTTTTCTTAAAGAACACAACCTGACCCGTTCCGTTACCCCTGGGTGCACCACCAACGAATGACGTCTCATTACCAAAGAATTTTCCTGATGTAACTGACATTCCTATATTTTAACAAAAATGAACAAAATGAAACAAATTAATCTAATGAGTTATTTTTTTTTGTGACCCCTGGGACAGCTTAGAGGAAGACCATGTTAAAAGATAGTTATAAAACAATCTATTCTGCAAGGTCTTTAATAAGGTAGTTTCAAATGTACAAAGATGCTAAGTAAACACATTCCTGATGTTTCTATACATTCTAAAGCTAATTTTCTTAAAACAACTAAAACTGAAACTCATCACTCTTCAATTATGCAGATTAATAAATAATTTAACTTTCAAATGTAAGTCATAAAGGTCCGAAAGTTTAGTGTCAATGTAAGTTAAAGTTATGGAGCATTGTTGACCCATAATGTAAAAAATAATATTTCTTAATATTTTTATGGGTTGATTAGTTTTTTTATTTAAATCAAATGAGGTTGTCAGTTTCTACTGATTGATATTCATCAGCTGTAGCTAACTAGCATATAACAAAATTATAACTATAAATCATTAAAATAACAATTCTTTTTTTAATTGATTACAAAAATCTGTGTTAAGTTTTTGAATCTGCTACAACATTTAAAATTTTAAGGCTAATATTTTTTAAAGAAATATTTTCCTTCAAATTTTCTGGAATGAAAGCACAGAATTTAGCTTTTTCAAAATAAGTTACATCACAATAAAGTATGCAAATTCTATGTTAATGTGCATTGTTAATTAAGGTGGATTTTAAAGGCTTAAGTGAGATATTTCAATAGAAAAAAATTCCAGAAGGAATATGATGAGCAGTTGATTTACCAGTAAATATTTAAAGACAGCAAAATCACAATTGTTTAAGTAACACTATTTTTTTAAAAAAAGAAAAGGTTACGAGAGTTTTAATTTTACAAATACATATTTGCAACTTTTATTATATTCTTTTTCTATGCAATAAGACATTTTTTACAAATAATTGCATTTTATCAAGACACAATAAATAGTTATGCTTAAAAGCATCAAATGTACATTATTTCACTTATGTTTAAAGTGAGTATATTAATATTATTTGGTCAAGGATCTTTATCAAATACTACTTCAAAATTCGCAACATGAACAATCAAAATAGCATATTGATATATATAATCGATGCATTACTTTTTTTCACTTAGTAGCTTTTATCGGGTTTTTTTTTTTAAACATTTGGTTTAAGTATTTTAATAGCAAAAAGCACTACCTACCTAAGTAACTATACTTTTCAACTGCAGCACCATCGTCTAAAAGGGGACCATATCGCCAAGTAATGTCAGCACCTAATTCAAATTTGATGCTATTTGTAAACACTGTGCCTCTCCAAGTGAAAGGTCCAGGAGTACCGATTATAAGTTTATCATCCTATTGAAAAAAGGAAGAAATTATTAATATTTATTAAGTTTGAATGGTTCTTTGAAAATATACTACAAATAGAAATAAAATTTTAATTCTCAGTGTCTTGGAACAACATTTTAAACTTGTTTTAGAGCAGCGTGGAGTGCTTGCAAGTGACTTAGTGTGAGTATCTCAATCCTGATGGGTTGTTTAAACGTGGTAGTTGCTTACGTTAGCAACTGTTCTTCCCATTCTTTTCCGTGTAAGCCAATCCGTTAAGTTTCAATTCTCTTAAGTGCTAAGTTTCAATTCCATATTTTTTCACAAAGATTTCAATTCTTTCAAATTTTATTTAACACAAAGACATGCACGAAGCCGTGTAGAGCATAAACAAACTAATCATGCATCAAAGTTTCCAGATACACAAAACAAAAATACATCGCAGTTACAACAAAATACATGAACAAATAATAAATCTAAGTTAAATAAAAGAAGAAGACAAGAAAGAATTAAATTTAACAAATTTCAAGGATCGCTCGCACGTCTCTGTATTTAAATAACTTCACGCTAATTAAGATTCTAACTTGTGTGGAGAAACTTAGCTTAACTTTAACACACCATTTTGTTTATAAACTATCAGATGGTGCTGATGTCAGAGGTTACATGTGTGGGTATGAGTAATCTTCTTCTTCTTGAAGTGACCAATTGGAAGGTATTTAAAACAATATTTTCAATTTTTCTAGAGTCGTAATAATGAAAGAAATTTTTTGCGTAAAAAATGCTTATTTAAAAATAGGTTGAAGTAGCTTAGCTGGTTTGGAAAAATACATTCAGGGCCGGATTACCCATTAGGCCATGGTCTGGGGCCCCCTTAAAATTGATTTTTTGAAAATAAATTAAGAAAAATTGAGAAAAACAATGATTTTTCAAATTTTTGCAAAATGTTATGATTATTTTTTAGTTCTAATTTAATAAAAAAAAGTGAAATTTAATTTATTATTATTTATTTTAAATATGCTTTCTCAAATGAAAAGATATATAAATACTTTTATATTTGAATAAATAAAAAATATACGAGAAAAAAATGTAATTGAAGGGCCCCAAAAATTTGAATGACCTAGGGCCCTGCGTACGCTTAATCCGCCCCTGAATACATTTCAACAATATAATAAAGACACTCTATGAAAGTAAGAATACATTTTTCCTATTTGACCAGAATACATAAAATTACATGTGATCTTAAATAAATAAAATAACAGACAAAATAATAAAAACAATTTTGATATACATTAAAACTTGTTTAAAATGTCCTAAAAGTTAATAACTTGAAAATAAAAAATTAATATTTCAAGCTATTTTCAAAGGATATTTTGTTGCAAAGTGACTGAGATTTTGTTAATCAAATAACACAGGGTTTATTCTAAAACATGAAGTTTAAAGTAAATAACCATACACTTTATCTATAAATGAAAATTAATTTTCAAAATTAAAAAAGGAATGTTTTTGTAAGACTCTTAACAGTTTTGTGTGTGGAGAATTTTTATAGTATTTGCAGAATCCATCTATTAAAACCATAATTTTAATAGAAATAAAGTGAAACCCCTCATTTATTTTATTTGGTGTTTGCTGAAGTGGTCTTCATAATTTATTTTAATTCAACACATTATATATGCCGCAATTACTTGCTAATGTTAACATGCAAATACAGTGAAACGTCTCGGGAGCGACCACTGTCCGTTCCATAGGTTGCCTCCATTGACTTCAAAATTGTTATCAAAGGAAATGGTTTTTCGCAAACTATTTTCTGTCAGTGACATTTTCTTGGTGCGGAAATGCCGCTTTCGTTGGCGTCTTGAAAAGACGTATCAATGAATAAAATTTAGCATCGACAAAAATGATCCCATCTGATATAATTATGTGTAAAAACAAATTTACCAAGTATGAATGATAAAGCTAATTATGTTTCTTGTTGAAGCTTGCATTTATTTTACATCATAAAAATGAGTTAAAAAATGAGAAGGTTTGTTTGTTTGAGATGCTTCTTTTTTCAAATATAACTTTTTTGCTTATTTAATTTTTAACTCTAGAAGTACAGCATTGTTTTTAGTGCACTCTGACTGAAACATGAGGATGTATCGTTAAAAAGAGCTCTCTAAATAAGAGCCTAAGACAAATATTTTATATAGATTTTAATCTACTTATATATTTTGGTAAATTTTTAATTTTGGAACTTTTTTGTGTGTCCTGATTTGATTTTTTCCGCATTTGGTGCAGATGTTTGCCCGATCGCTGGGAGAGGTTTTAATGGTTTCAACTAAAAGTTTTCATCAACACAAAGTCCATGGAAAACAAATCTGTACCTCCCAAAAGTGGTCGCAAATACAGGTGGTCTTCCCTGGAGGTTTCACTGTACCTTATTTCCTACAAAACAATACTAAATCAATAATTGTAATTACATGTTACGCATACTTCTGATATGTCAGCACTAGTACCAGCCTGGCAGTAGCCGAACTGCTCGTGTGCTTTGGCAACAGGACGTCCAACGCAGGGTTCCCAGATATTATCTTTCACAAGATCTTGATCCAGAGAATAGCAAACACCCAGACCCCATTGGTAATCAGGTCCTTTCTTAACTAAACGGTGGGCACAAGTCTAGAGATGAAAAAATATATTTAATAATAAAAAGTATTTATCATTGTTATTTAATATTATAAGACAGTATACTTTTTATATCTTGAAAACTTTGCCATTTTAAAAAAATATTTTCCCCTTGTCATTATATATCCACCTAATGTTAATTTGAGCTCTTATGTCGAAGAGTTTCTTCTCAAATCTTGTTGTGTTGAATTTTTTTCGATATAAAAACTGAATTTTTTTCAGAAAAATCACAATGTAAAATTATTGCCCACTAATTCTTTTCTATTTCATGCATAATTTTTGTCTTACATTTAAAAATAAAATTATCATTGTTGTATTTAGACTTATAGTCAACTATCATTACATACATATTTAATAGTAGTTATTCTTATGCTTCATGACTCAACTTTTTAGAGTGATATTTTAGAATATATATTTTTACTCTTTAGAATATATTTAGTTCTGAACTTGTTATCTCAAAAACTCGCTATCTCGGAATTTTTTTAACCTCCCGTCAACTTTGAGATTGCGTCTTGATACTCTACATGCATTTATGTATAAGTATATCTTAAATAAATACCTCAAATATTTAGTCTAATTTTAGTAATTTCTTTTAAGCTGAATATATTTTCAATTTAAAATAAATAAATAAACAGTAAAGGAGAGAGTAGATGTTTAGAGAAAAAGCAATAATATTATATTATTTAATTGCTAATTACCTGCTTTTACTAATTTCTAAAACATTTTCTGAAGTTTCAAATTATTGAACCCAATTTATCCAATTGAAACAGAGTAATAATTTTAATTCAAAAACTTTTAGTAAGATAGCAGGATTAAAGATCCATTTCAAAAGTGCATTAAAAGGCGTCAACCCTCGCCACCTTGGATTTCAGATTAAATTTTTAATTTTCGTTTTCTTGATATTTTTTTGTTCTAAATTTTCGATGATATAAGTGTTACTTGACTGACAATATCTTACAAAAAAGGTTGAAAATAAAGAGGTTGTTTCATTAGATTAAGAGAAATAGCACTTGATAATTATTATGGAATTTTCATTAAAACTTTAAACCAATATAAAAAATATGTGATTTGTGGTTCTGAGACAGTCATTAAAAATTACACATTTGTCAGTTTTCAGATTTTTTTAAATTTAATTTTATTACAGTTTAAACTGATTTGGATGATACTAAAAAATTTTATAACATAAATTACACAATAAAGATATTTTTCAAAAATCTAAAAACCGACAAATATATACTACATAACCGCTGTTTTCGGAATTGTATTGGTATCATTTTAGCAGGAAAAATAAATAAATAATTTGAAATAACACATATCTTATATTTCAATTTCTGATTGGGTGTCAGCTTTGTATTTTACATGCATTGAAAGATACTGCCAAATTGATTAGAAATCCCTACTCAGTTTATTTGTGAAAATTAAATAAAAATGATTAGAAGTATTTATTGAGAAAAGCGAGAGACTTTTTAAGGGAAAAATATTACATTTAAAAACTGAAAAGAACAGCCCAAAAAACTTGAGTATTAGCTGATAATAGCACTATTCAATTTGTATTATTCAACTCCTTTTCTATTTTAAAAACCTGTGATGGCCACTTTATGAAATAGATAAAAATTAAAAACAACAAACCAAAAAAAGAAAGAGATTTAATATTATTTAAAGTCAGAACATTAAAATTTAAAGATAATTTTTAGAGTTTTTTTTTTACTATTATTATAGATAAAATTATTAATAAACAAAAATAAAATTTATGATTCATAAAGCAAAAGAATATAAAAATATGCGTAAGCACATAATAAAAAGAGCAATAGAAATTACAAAAGTGAAACTTTTCACGAGCCTTACCAATACAAAACCTCCAGGACCTTGACTTTTAACAGTAACACCAAGCCACTGATCGTCTCGAATAACTTCGTCTTCCGCAACTGAAGATAAAAAAAAATTTATCTGAGTGCGCTGTTTATGGATTCAAAATAAGCATAGGTTTTAAGTAAAATGCAATAAAATAAGGTAAATATTTCAAAATAAAGTTTGAATTAACAATGAAAACTGACTGAAAGATAATAAAAATTTATTGATAATTGAAAGTAATGTACAGCTTTGCTTCTAAATGCATCAAACTTTAGAATTCATTTCAGTGTTTAAATGATTTTGCCTTTTCAAGCTAAATTTCAAAAAAACCCTCCATTCCGGATCTTATTTGTCCGCGATAGCAAGACTTCATATGAGCCATTTCAAGAACATGAAGATTTCTTCAGACAAGACCAGATATGCAGACATTGCCCTCAAAGCAGAACACATTTTCCACTGTCAAGCCATTCTGGCTGCACTTTTTGAATTTGTCAATCTTTTACACAATTATGCATATTTCTTTCCATCCTTGTTTTTATAATATAACACAGTTAGACTTAAGTTCAATAAAAATAATAACTGATTTTAGTGGAGTATCAAAATATAATGAAAAATCTATCACAGTTAATTCTGTATCTTCAAGTTTTGCTTCTGTGAAATTAATATTAAAAAAATGAAAGGATTACTGAACTCTCACGCTGACCAGAAGTGAAAAATAGCTCCAACGATAAGAATGAAAATATCCTTCATTTAGAGCCCCTTGGACTGATGTTCAGAAGTTTTCCTTTCCATGCAACAAAGTGGGTTAGTTTCACTCAAGAAGCCCCTACTCAAAAAACCCTACAGTTTGTCTAAAGAAAGAACTCCCCATGCAACAAAGTCTAGGGCCATCTGCTGCTATGGAAACAAGCATTTTAAAGAAGGGAGCTTCTTTCTCTCCTGATTCCCTTTCCCTAGTCGACCGGAGTCAAAACCTTTCTTAAATAATGACCCAACACCCTACCTTAAATAATTAACCACTCCCGAAAAATGGCTAGGGGAGTTCTTTACACAGATAGATTATATTCAGGCAAGTTTATCTAAATGTTTAATTTAAGAGTTCATTTGTTTTCTGGTTTGGGTCTAAAATTGCAAAGCTATGATAAAGTTGAAAATTGATATAACAGTATATCCAACATGCATCAACCATTTAACCTCTAACTATAAAGTGTTTGCGTGAAACACAATTTAATTCTGTTTATTTATATTTTTTAACTGACAAAATATGTATATTTAGAAAAAAAAATTCCATGATGGAAATAAAAAAACTGTGAGTTAGTATTGAGGAAGGTGTTAAGTTGGTCTAAAATTCAACAGAAGAGCTTTGAATGAGGAATGTTTATTTCCATGGTAGACCTGAATGTTTAAAATTTAAGTTAGTAGACAGCGGCCGGTACTCTCCAATGACTTAGTAGCTACATTTTGCAATTTTTTTCTTCTCTTTTGCTTAGGTTAAATTTTATTTTTAAAAGAAATTTCATTAATAATCTACAGCTATAGAAAGTTAATTCAACAATAAAAATAAAATAAATTTGTGACAAAATTTTGGTATACATACTGACTTTAAAGAACTTTATGTAAAAATATTTAGGGAAGCAAAATACATACAACTTAATGTATACTATACAACTTTAAAATATGTAAATTGTTAAAGAACTCTCCACCATAAGTTGATGTATTCTGAAGGATCAAAAGTTTGAATGGAAATATAGGACATTTTGTTAAATGAAAATTCTCCAGACACTCTTTCTACATGGATGTACTCTTATTATTAAACGATTCTTAAAAAAAAAGCAATGGGGAAAGTGACCAGTAGTTTATTTAATTTAAGTCATCATTTTTTAAATTTTTCTTTTCTGGCTTGCCACATGACGAGAGATTTTTTTCAGGTCAATTCCAGGGTACAATAAAAGATCAAATTATCTAAAAAAAACAATGCAATTAAAAATACTTACAATCATTTTCATCTTCTATACTGATTTGTTCACAGTCTTTTGGAAACGTACTGACAGGACATCTGTACACAGCTCCGGAATGATTTGTACTGAACTGACTAGAATAAGCTTTGGGCGAGCCCACTAATAAACTATAAAAAGAAAAAAATAAAAACAGTTAGTCACAATCACAACTCATAGTAATTTATCAGTATATAGTAAATTAAAATCGGTTTTTGATAATAAAAAAAACTATCATTAGTTCATACTTATGATAATAAAGAGTTCTTTGTAGTAATAAGAAAAGGGCAGGGTGTTTTCTCACAGAAAAGGACACTTTGAATTTTGAAAGAGCACTCACTTATCACCGTTAAAATTTTATCAAGATGTTTAATATTAAATATAAATTTAATTTGACCCTACTTTAAATTACCCTCCTTTACTATTTTATGTGTTTACTTTACAAAGTCATTCTCACTCATTATCAAAACAACAAAAAAATTTGAAGTTTTTGAAAAACAATTAAAGGCAAGCTGAAAGACAATCAGTGTACTTTTCTTTACAAGTAAACTAAATAAGTAAAAAAAATAAACTTTTCCATACTATTTTAAATTTTATATTTTTAAATTTAAGCTAATAATTAATAATTATTGCTAAACAATTGTATTGGTCTTTTAATGACTTTATATACTTTCCGTTTTTTTTAGTGTCTTGAAAAAAATATACTTTTTCCTAAAGAAATTTCAACTGTCATTAAAAATCTGATCTAATAGAAGAATTATCTTCAAAACATTTAATCCAAATTATTGAAAGAAAAAAAAAATCATGTGAATATAACTCCACAACTAGAACTGTATAACTAGACAACAAAAGAAAATTTTTATTAAAATGAAATTCAAAATTAAAGTTAAATAATTATCAATAATTAAATAAATTAGAAGTGAACTTTTTATTAAAACAGGTGGTTAAAAAAAACAATCAAAATATTAAAAAAATTTTAAACCAAATCCTAATAATAACATGTTTCTTAATAACTTTATTTTAGTTTTTCATTACATTAACTATTATTAACATTAAACACATTTTAAGTTTTTTTATCATAAATAATTCCAGAATAACAACAAATAATTATTTAGGAAAAAATTACCGTATGAATTAATCTTTTTAGACCAACATTGTAAAATTGGAGCTAGTATTTTTAAATGAATCTTAATAAAAAAAGGTAACACAATTTTTTTTAGTTGGTGATAAACCAAAAAAAAAAATTAAATAAATAAAATACAATATTGAAATAATAAATTTAAAAAAAATTATTATTTTAGTAACATAGAGAAAAACATCCGTACAACAATGTTAATAGTTTAAGGTTTTTTTTTTTTATTGTAGCAATTATTATAAGTAGAGACCAGAATCAAAAAAGGCATGATTGTTTACAAATATCTCAGAATTACACCGCTTCTCAGTAAAAACCTGTTTTCTTTAAACTGATTCAATTTTTTCAGTTCATTTCACTGCAAGTTCTTCTTTAATTTACAAATTAAGCATACTTCAACTGATTGAACGGATGAAAAAAATAAGAAAAGTTTTTGGCGGTGGCTATTAGTTTTGTACTAATGGCGCCATCTTTTGCTTCAATATTGAATATTCGCTTTTATTCACAGCTTGGCCAAGATTCACAGAATCTCACTTTAATAGTTTTAGAGATAAAAATAAATAATCACATTTGAATAATAATAATAAAAAAATATATAAATCTAACCAATTAAACAAATGGGGTGGGACATTGTGAAAACAAGCATAAGGATAGAAATAACGAAATAACAAATGAAGAAAATTATACAAGTTTAGGAACTCTCTTTCATGGACTTCTCGATAATATTGTTAAAAATAATATTAACATTTCCTTTCTCATATATTTAACGATATAGCACACGGGGGAAGACACAAGCTCGAATGTCAGTGGTTTATGCTCTCAGCTGACGTAATACATCCTTCGTGGTAAACGTTTTATAGAGAATGCCATCGGGCTAGCCTAGGGAGGTTTTCCTCTTAATGTAACGGAAATGCTGGTTAGTTCCATCAATGCAATTCGAAATCAATATATTGATACAAAGCATTTTATTCTCATGGCTACGAAAAATCACATGGCTACGAAAAATTCAGAAAGGGTACACTAAAGTCATAAGTTTGGGAAACACTGCTTTAAAGCATTTTTTATCCTTATTAGGATTAACTTGTTCACAATTACTGTCTGGTTCAAAGATTTTATTATAAATATGGATTCTGAAGAAGGAAAAGAGAATGTTGAATAGTTTTTGATTGTGTGGGGGCGGAGTTATCGACCATGCCAACCGTCATCTATCAAAAGGTACCTCGTGATTGAATCAAGTTAGCATGTCTTATATACCAGCGAATTGATGTTTAATTTTCGTAGTGGTAGTTACGCTACAATTGAAATTGAAAATGAATCCAATCGATGCAGTTTTTACAACCCGTGACTTGAAATGCTGTGACGTCTATAAAAGTCTATCCAAGGTGGGGGGGGGGGGAATATTCGACCTATGGGTAATCAGTGATTGCAATAATGCCATCACAATGGATACCTGCAAGTGACGTGTAGTATGTGTATCTCGATTCTGATGGGCTGTTGAAACGTGGCATTTGTTTATGTTAGCAACTGTTCTTTCCATTCATTCTATTTCGAATAATCTAAGCCCGTCAAGTATCCATTCTCTTAAGTGACACAATCTATATTCTTTCACAACGATTCTTTCTCTAAATATTTACACAGAGGCTTAAATATAGGAACGGAGCCATGTGGAACAGAAACTAATGATGCATCGAAGTTGCCAGGTACACAAAACAAAACTATATCACGGTTACAATAAAATAGGTAAACAAATAATAAATTGAAGTTAACTAAAAGAAGTAGACGAGTAAGAATTATATTTCAACTCATTCGATGGGCGATATGTATTTAAGTTATCGTTGATTAACATTCTAACTTAGGTAGAGAAACTTAGCTCCACTTTATTGCGCCATTTAGCGGATAAAGATTAGCTGACGTCATAGATCACAAGTGTGGGTACGGGAGGTCTTCTTCCTGAAGTGCAAGTACCCAATTTTCTCTCTTTTGTAATTAATTAATCACCAGAACATTCTTTTTCATAAATTATTATTAATTAATATTAATTTCCTCTTAAAACCAATATTAAAAAAATTGCACCCCTTGATGAGGATAGCAAAACATTGTGTCGCCTCATTTTGGGAAATTTTATAACAACTCAACTCAGCACATATTCCCGTGAGAAACTTATTGCTTCTGATTCCGAACTTCACAGAAACACTTATCATGTCATTCGCAGGTATAAACCAACTCATTATCTTCTTTATGATACTAACATTATATCAAGTCTTTTATTACCGATCATTTTACTCAAAAAAACACACACACGGCATCCAGAGCATTAGAACTTATGATGATATTTGCACTTTTTTCCCCCTTCTTTTTTTTTCTGGAAGTCCAACAATGCCCCCAGGCATGAATAATTAAGTAATGAATTCCTGCTTTATTTGAAAGCGCACTGCCAAATTATATTTCTTAGAAACGAGGCGAAAAGTGTACAAGTGACAGTTGGCAACAATCATCATTAACTACAATCAAGCACTTCCTGAAAACCCCCTCACAGTCTCTCCCCCCCCTTTCCCCCATGACACCGCTAATGAACAAATAGGGCTGGTTGACTAACTTTTAGAATGAGAAAGTCGGCATCGTCTTATCGTCGTGTTTGTGTGAGCTAATGCCAATTGGAATACAGTCAATTTTAAGACAGTCATTCCTTACCTTGCATTCACTTTCTACCCCCCCCCCCTAACCTAGAGACCTACATTAAAAACATTCAGAGTTCTGAAAAATGCAATTCGGCCTGAATTGTAGAATTAAAAACTAAACGGGTGCTAATAATATACCCTGGTAGAAATGGAGGTTGCGGCGCTTTCATTTTATGATCGCCAAAAATGTAGAACATAAAGTGCTAAAAAAATTTATTTTTTTAATTTCTTAAAATACTTTAATTTTTATTCTTTTGCCAAATCAAGATGATTGGGAACTACTGAAAAGGTTGGACAAACCTTCATCCTACCAAAATCAAATGTCGGTGTTTTTGTCGTGGGCCATGAAGGCATTGGGGGTGCAATTGTTCTTGTTTTCCAGTGGCGCCATCTCTAGCCACGAATTCAATTTCCGCCACACCCATACGTCTTACCCGTTTATAGGACAGACCCATTTATACATCCATCCATTCATCCTCAGATAGTATTTGAACTGAACTAACCATTGATCTGCAAAACTATTTTTGTGCTATGTACCCATTATTTTTTATGAACGAGGATTAAGGGTCAGGGACCCAGGCACTTCATTAATCTACGGCTATGCCAGCTACCGTGACTTGAACTGAACTAGAGCAGGATCAATCTGCAATTCAGTACCCTCAAAAGTATAATTGGCTGTTGGAACTAGGAGAACTTTGTTAACCGACAAATTTAACGTGCACCATTCACCATTAACTAGAAGGGGTGTCTTCGGCCGGCTGGATTCGAACTCCCGGTTCTCACGAACGTGAACCCAAATTCCTGCGAACCAGGATATCGCGGCCACCAAATGCTGATAAATCATGTATATAAAAAGAAATGTTACCAAATGTTGATAAATTAACAAGTTATTTAAGTGTTCAGAATTTGAATAAAGCTGAAAATTTAAAAAGAGCAAATTATATCAAAAAACCTTTGAACAATGAAATGATTTTGGATTGCGGTATGATACAGTATTAGTATCACCTTAAAGGTAAATTAATGAAATGTAGACAAATAATATCCATCAATTTAAAGAATGGAATTCCTGAGAATTGAAAGACAGAATGGAAAAATGTTTATGCAATCTATTGATTTGAAATTTTAAACTTGAGTTACAGCAGTTTAACTGTAAAAATTTTGAATAATTAACAGGAAAAGGCGAGTACATGACGGTCTTTTTAGAAATCTGGAAGTAACTAAAAAGCAAGAAGAAATGTGACAATTAAATTTACAATGTTAAAAATTTTTAATTTGCATAAGTTAAAACAATTTTGTATTTAAAGTGGGGAAATTGTGAAAA